GGAGGGGGAAGGGAGGCGACCTCTCGCGCTTTGGGGAGGCAGTGGGTGCCACGCCATCGTCTAATGTTTCATAGCTCTCGTTGATAGCATTCATGAGGTTGTTAGGGGAAGTCACCTGTCACTCTAGTCCTATCTCCTTGGTTACCTGCCATGTAAGTTTCCGTACATGCAGAGAGAGAAAACCCTTGTGGTTTCTTACGTTAGCAACTCAAGTAAGTTGTAGATCTAAAGGAAACTAAAAGATTAGCTAAAAAATCCCTACAGACGGTGCCAAACTATTTGATCCAAAATTTAGATCCGGGTTCAACCAATTAGATTTGAATAAAGCAAAGTCAATCTTAGCCAATATTAATATCCAAAAGATATGTTAACTGATTTCGTAGCAGATAACATGTATGCTTGACCGGATGACAATAAATGTGGACTACACTGACAATATTCAATGACTCAAAAGGAAGATGATAGCAATAAATAATAATTAATGATATTTAAGTAAATAGGAACATGTGAGTCACCAGAGAAGGGGTAAGATTTGCGAATATTCCTTCTGATAATGATGAATGATTGACGAGCCTTCGAATATTCAAGTTGTTCTTGGATGAAGTGGAAAAGTAATGCAAGAATCTGAGTAAAAAGGTATTTCTTGTGTGCTTACAATAGAATCAGATTCTCTCTATAAAGTCAGTGTGTTTTCTTATAAGTGAATATCTTATGTCCCCTATCCTTCTATGTCTTTCTATTTATAGGGAACATATACCAAAAAACCCTAATAGTAGAGGTGTAGAGAATATCCATTAGAATATTCTTTTTTGTATTTTATCCTAAATCTAGCCGTTATAACTCTATCTAAGATGCTCGACCTCAACCTCGATCTACAATGACTTTTCAATCCCGGTCTTTACTGACTCGTCGAACATACCCTTCATCTCTTAAGGGACCACTTCGACCTCGGGCAGGTGTGCTTGAAGTCATATTGATAAAGCGTGGCAACCTAGGAAGGCTCTCTTAATGCTGACGCATCTTGCTTGTATAAAAGATAATTTTTGTCCCATACAATGAAGAAGAGGAGATTTAACCACTTACCAACTAATTAGCGGGCATAATATATCCTTTAGAAGTTAGTCTCAATCCAATATATAGTCAAATCCAGCTCAAAATTGATAAATTTGAGCTTTCTCTCTAATCAATTCTCCACTAATGATATGCGAATGTGATTTTGAGATGAAAGGGGGGAAAATGGAGAAGCTACAACTGAGCTATACGCGAGGAATGGAGGAATATGCGAGCCAAATAGGGAAAAATGGTGTAGTTTAGCAAAGAAGGTGACGAAAAATGGATTTTGAAGGATTTTTTTTTCTATTTTTGGAAATAATAACTTTTATATATTATGACCATTGAGTAATAAATAGAACTTTGGGGCTGAGGATTGAATTTTCAATTTTAACTTGTCATTAACTAGTATTAACGATTAATGCTAAAACAATAACAATTCAGTGAATTTTTATAAATAAGATGTGTGGATGATAATGTATATACAAACCTTATCTCCCTATGCCAAAGAGTACATATGCTGTTTTGATAAAACCTCGGCTCAAGATAATAATTAATGAAGAAGGTTAGATCCCTAATGTACTCATTTTTTGGGTCACATGACTTTAGGACTTTAGGGCTTTAAGCTCCATTTAAACCCACCGTCAAAACGGGCCGGGTCTATTTGAAGTTGAGGGTTTTCCCAGTAATTGGGCAAAGGGTTTTAGGCCTCGCACTCAAACCAAGCTTTTCTCCCTTTCCTATATAGGCCGCAGTCAGCTAAACGAAGACGAAGAAGAAGGGAAACAAAACAAATTCCTTTCTTTTATTTTTGTTTATTTATTTATTTTCTGTATTCAGAGTTCCTACACGTACAACAGTTGCAATGGCTACTCTCGTTCCTCCGTCAACTACAGTTCCACCGGCGGCAGGTTCAAAATCGCCGGCCGTCGAATCGGAGAAAGTTGATTACTTGAACTTGCCTTGTCCCATTCCTTATGAAGAAATTCATCGCGAAGCTCTCAGTTAGTATCATCCTTTATTACTTTGCTGATGATCATTGTTGCTTTAATTATTTTAACACAGTACTAAAATATCAAGTATTTCTAGTAATTTTTATTTTTATTATTATGTTTTATTTTGTATAATATTGGCGCAAGGTGAGTTTGTATGGAGTAACATGGTCGAAATGATCAGTGGCGGACACCAGATTTTAATGCAATAATATGATGAAATGAGTTGAGTAGAGCGGAATAGATATAGAGGATTAATATTGCGGACCTTAATTGGACGCCCTAATTGTTTCAGAATAGAGGAATGGATGTAGAAGATTTGATAGCATAATGAATAGAACTGAATGGATATAGTAGATGATTTATATAGTCGGTGAGATGGATGTAGAGCATCACCTATGGGTTCATCTGAATGACTTTGGTTCAGGCCCTATATATATTTATATTAATGAATTCACTAATATGCACAAGTAATAGATTTTGAACCCATTTAATTGAATGAGTTGTGGTACAATTCCGAACATGAGCCCTTGATGTTCAAATCCTGGATCGGCCGTAGTAGATCCCAGTTAGTTGGGGCGGTAGGATAATGAAATGGTTGGGCGCTGAATGCATAAAGAAGATTTATGGTGAATCCTAACTAGTTGCTTTCCTGTTGTCTGCAGATTGTTTGGTGTATTCTAAGAAATGTAATGCAATTAGAATATGCAGTTTCAATTACATATGGTTTTGTTGTTGTTGCTGTTAAGACCCCACTAACTTGATTTCACAAAGGCAGTGCAAAATTGAACCTATATTTTCTCAATGGATACAATCAGCTCATGGTAAAACTTCATATTACCACGCCACATGCACTTTCTGAATTTCAACAATTCAAGTGCATTTCTATGTCTACTAAAAGAGTAGTTTAAATATTAGTGATTTTACTAGGTGGGGTTCAGTATGTGTTGAGGATTTTGTAGTGCAAATGATTTTGTGGCAATCTGTTATGAATACTCTCGTACATCTGTGATAGAAACATGGAAGTAAAGGCTGTTATAAAAAACAGTAGATAACATGTAATATTTGGAAGTGACTTAGAGATGTCAGAATACTAAGTCTATGCAAGCTATTTAACATTGTATAAATGATGCCAAACGGACTTTTGTTTTGATGTAGAAGAACAAAAGAATATTCCATAGTTTGGTGGCGTGTCTTGGTATTAAACAGTTATACGATGAAATTTGAGGAAAGTGTCAATGAACCAAGTTGGATTCCGCTTGGTAGACTATACCATATTTGTATGTTTTTAAGACGACTGATGAAATTTTATAGATAGTGGAAGAATGATATCCACATGATGTTATCGATACAAAGAAAGCATATGAAAAAGTGCCAATAAAAGTTTTTGTTTGTATTGAGAAGAAAGGATTCATATCAAGTACATATAACAATGGATGTAGCAATTTGTATCTAGGTAAGCATAATCGGCTCAGGCACTACCACTATTCAAAAAAATGATATAATGATATGGATGAAGGAGCAGTTACTAGTGTGAGAACCGAGGGAGGAGTTTTGAATAACTGTGGGTTTACACCGTCTCTACCCTGAGCTAATACTTGTTACACTTACATTAGGTTTGTTTTGTCGGGACTTGTTGTATTCTGGTTTGATATTTATTTATGTAGGAATAAGTTTGAGTTCTAGAGAACCTCTAGTGGTAGAGAACTCCAATTTTTCCTTAAAGTATAAATTATTTAATATGGAATGAAATGGGCTTGAATAGAGCAGATTGGATACAGAGGATTCATATATCTAACCTCAACTGGTTTGAGATAGAGTGGTAGTTGATTATTGTTGTGAACGTTTCTAGGTTTAGCAAGATAGACCGCCTCTTCATTCAAAATCAACAATGCACATAAAAAAGAGGTTGCGCCAGGAGTTGTCAGATGCATCACGTGTGCCTGTTTCAACTAAAATTATTTCGAGTAGTCCTCTTTATCAAAACCTTGAGCTAGTTGTTTAAACCACTATGAGGTTAAACCAATGCAGTGGCTTCTATTGCAGTTTTAGTTTTTCCTTTTATGTTCATATTTGATAAGCTTCGGTGTTCTTAAGTCTGACACTTACTCCAATATTTATGTTATTGTTATTGCTTTTATGAAGGAATAACCAATTCATGTCTCTATTGGCAGTGTCTTTAAAGCCGGAGCTTTTTGAAGGGTTGCGTTTTGACTTTACCAAAGGACTTAATCAAAGATTTTCACTCAGTCATAGGTAGATTTTACATACATGAAAAATATATCATATCCGTTGCTATATTCTCTCTATTGATAGAGGGAGAGAGGTGTTTCTTAGTGATAATAAATGTGTTTCAACCTTTTCTCAGTGTTTTTATGGGACCTACAGAACTTCCTACTCAGTCTGCAGACATCGTTAAAATACCAACTGCTCACTACGAGTTTGGTGCTAACTTTATAGATCCAAAGGTCTGTAATTGATTTTATTCTTTCCAAGTGCCTGAACTCTTTGAGGATCTTATTCTGGCAGCAATGACTTCTGATCTTGGTACAGATGATGCTTATTGGGAGAGTATTGACAGACGGGAGGGTGAATGCTAGGGTGAAGTGTGATTTGTCTGAGAATCTTTCGTTGAAAGCCAATGGTCAAGTAAATATTTGATATTTTCAACTGTTGCTTTTCCTTCCATAATTTTATGTGGAGCAACTAGCATATCTCACAATTTTAATCTTCTTAACAGCTAACTGGTGAACCGCACATGTCGCATGGCATGGTTAATTTAGACTACAAGGTAGACATGCATATGTTTTAATAAGATTTAATTGGTAAATCCAGGCCAGACTGCACATTTCCTATTTCATTCAAGTAGTAATATTCACATATCACGCTGTAGTCCATTTGACTTGAGGATAATGATTGCTGTAAGTCTTTGTTGTTGTATATAAGGGAAAAGACTACAGGACTCAATTTCAACTTGGCAATGGTGCATTATTTGGAGCCAGCTACATCCAGGTATCATATAAACTTGTTACTCCCTGTTTAAGATAATGAATACATCCTAGAAGACTGAAAAAAATCAGAAAGTAAATGGCCTTTTCTCAGCCATTGGTGATTGGTTATAATGCTTTAGGCATTTATGTCCTCAAGTTGCATGACATATTGTGAAGTTTCAGACATAGTTTTAGTGGTTCAGAAAACTTGCACCCAATGCGATGAGTTGGAATAAGGTGTTATCATAGTACATTTGTGTGTAGGTTAAAAAAAATGAAAGATAAATAATGCGTAACATTGTGCTGTCAACTGGGATTAAAAGCCTAAAAAGTGGGAGAGAGAGCTAGGGGGACCATCAGGAAATAGTTCTTATAGCATCAAAAAGAGATCAATGGTAATACTGTTTGAGAGAAATCAGATAACTTAATTGCACAAAATGCTAAGAAGAGAAAAAAAGCTAGTGACTGATGTGGATCACATTCTCTAACACCTCGATCCTTAGAAAAATACTTTAGTATTTCTTTACTAGATTTAGTAACTAGAGCTCAGACCGTTCCCTCAACCCCGGATGACAAGAAGGCAGTGCCAACCACTGTGTACTCCCTTTGGCCACAAAATGTATTCCGTGACCAGACTGTGTCATGCCACTCAATCAGCATCATTACTTCATAAAAGTAACCGTTTCCAATAAAAAGAAAACCTCCATCATTTACTTTTCACCAGAATAGCCCGTTGAAATAGTAGACAATTTCCACCGGCCTTTAGTCTAGCCTTTCCCCGGATCCCGTGCATAGCGGGAGCTTAGTGCACCGGGCTGCCCTTTTTTTAAGTCTGGTATTTAAGTTAGCCAATGAGTAACTGTAAATTTGAAATCTGTTTGACCGTCATTGTTGTGGTAAAAAATGTCATAAGTTCAAATCTTGTCATTTGAAATATTCTTCTTTCTGGAGAGTGATGAAGGATCAATTGACACCAATTAAAGCAGTTTATTTTATGAGACAATATGCTGTCATATGCATGCAAGATGTATTGGGGGCACATAGAGAATCCTTCTCATTTAGTCTTATCTCAGCAAAGGTCCTTTTTTTGTGTGGTTTGGGGGGGGGGGGGGGGGGGGTTGTGGATTTGGAAAACCAAGCAACATGAAATGTTCGTGGTTGCACGTGGTTTTGGGTGTGAACGAGTATTGGGGATGGATGCTTATTAGTTGTTAGGCATAGACGTGGTTTGGTTTTGTGTCATTTAGAGTTTGTTTTGAAGAGGTCATCCCACGGCGAAAGACTTCGAAGTGGAGATTCCTAGTGAATAGTTTTCAGACTAGTTGTCTTGATACTGCACAGTCTATTTGTGTTAGTGGGAGGAAAGATTTGAAAGGAGAAGGAAAATATGGAAAGGATTGTGCAGATGCAAGCCCTTCTTTAAGAGGATTGAGCCTCCACTGTGTCTTTAATGGTTGGGAACTTGTATAAGTCCAATTTAAATGTCCCTACTCCTGCACAAGTAATGGGGATGCATGCTTATTGGTTGTTAGGCATAGACGTGGTTTGCATTTGTGTAATTTAGAGTTTGTTTTGAAGAGGTCATCCCACGGAGAAAGACTTCAAAGTGGAGATTCCTAGTGAATAGTTATCAGATTAATTGTCTTGATGGCTGACACTGCACGGTCTATTTGTAATGGTTGGAGGCATGATTTGAAAGGAGAAGGAAAATATGGTAAGAATAATACAGATGCAAGCCCTTTTTAAAGAGGATTGAGCCTCCGCAGTGTCTTTAATGGCCGGGGACTTGTATAAGTCCAATTTAAATGTCCCTACTCCTCACTTTGGGCCTCTTTTGGCCCATTTTGCTTGAAGATTCTTTTGGAATTAAAAGATGAATTATCTAAGAAGATTACCAAATTGGGCAGTGTGTATGGTTGTGCTTCCGGAGGTACTATTGCTTAGATATGCTCTTCTTTATAGTTGCTTCGATCGCATTAATAATATAAAGGTTGCGATTGGCACTTATCAAAGTTTTTATTATAAAAGATTGTGATTAGTACTTTCCTTCTTTTGGTTGTGTTCCTTAATGGTCACTCTAATACAAACTTATCATCATCCTTCTTAAATTGGAGAGTGGAGACTGTAATGGACTTATTGAAAAGTGAGAGTGAAGATTGCAAATACTATAACAATATTATCTTCCACTTCTGTTCCTCTGGGGATAATCTGATAAATTGGGATGATATCATATATCTACCACCTATTGGTCAAATCATGGATTCCTTAGGGTTCTTATGAAATATCAGAGAATGAGTAAAGATGTCGTCCTGATTGAGGGCCAATATCGTATGCAGATGAATTGTGTGGTATTATGCTTTTAGCTTTTTAACTGAACCTTTACATGGTCTTGCAGAGTGTCAGTCCACATTTGTCTCTGGGTGGGGAGGTATTCTGGGCTGGTCAGCATCGGAAATCTGGCATTGGTTATGCTGCTCGCTACAACACAGATAAAATGGTATTCTGCCTATTACTTGATGATAGAACATTTTTCATGCAATCATTTTCTTATCTGGATTCAAGGTGTTTTAATATTGTTTGAATGATGGATGATTTGTTTGGGACTGAGGCGTACTTTTTATTGTGTTGGATACATGATAGCAGCTTAAGTTTCATTTCTGTTGGACAGTTAGTGTTTCTAGTTGCCTGCTAGCTATTCTGTTAATTGAGAGGCCTTCTGTTTATTTTTCCTGTTATGGTCCTTCCAGAAAACTAACATGTATATCATGCTAGTGAAGTAGTGAGGCATTTGATTGAATGCTTTGTCTGAGGTGTACTTTCAAAAGCTATATTTTCCAGGCCATGGTGATTTTTCTCTTTCCTCTGTAGTATGAATAGCTTTAGAATAAAATTAAACTGCAGGTCTTCCAGATGCAAAAGGGTTTATATTCTGTCATTTTGTCCAAATACTTCCAATGATATATACAGTGGGACAGGAACATCAAAATATTCATGTTTCTGAGTAAACCCCTAAAAGAGAAAAATTTGGCCGATTCAATTCAGAAGATCAAAATGAATTGTGTCCTTTTTTATTTTTGGTGTAAACAAAAGTGGCCAGAAGATACTGTATCGATTCTGGAAGTCATAGAATACTGCTAGCATTATAGCTCAGTAGTCTATCCTTTTGCACATTGTAAATATGGTTTCAGTACAACCTATGTACTGTTATATATCAATACACACAAATGTTACCTTCTCAAAAAAAAAAAAAAATTTGGCCGATTTCACCAGCATTTACTACTTGCAGTTGTCTTTTTGTAGGTGTCCTTATCTTTCTAGGTTCTCTATTAATGTTTTTCGCATTATTCAGTGTTTGTTAACTTATCTGCAGGTTGCTTCAGGGCAAGTTGCTAGCACTGGGATGGTGGCACTGAGTTATGTTCAGAAAATTTCTGAAAAGGTTTTAAGAGTCACCAGTATCTCAACAACTGCATTTGTGACTTGCTTTTCTTAAACGCTTTTCTTCCATGCAGGTGTCTCTAGCATCAGACTTTATGTACAACTACATGTCTAGAGATGTTACCGCAAGCTTTGGTTATGATTACATCCTTCGGCAGGTAATTTTTTGTGGTAAAGTTTTTTTTATTTCCTGCAGGCTAGTTTTGGTATCACACTTTGACAGTTTGACTCCTGTGCATTTCCAGCAATTTTGCAGTTTCCTGTTGGCTTTGAAAAGCCCTCTCTGTAAGACAGTCTATAGTTTTTCCGCTCTAGTTTTTAACCTGGTGATCGATGTTATGAATTGTACTATTTGCTGCTACTCTGCAGAGTCTAGCGGAAAATGAAAGCTCCAAATTTAATGCCCAAAATTGTCATTATTGTTTTCAAAACAATTGCCTGCAGACTCGATAGATCATTTCTTGCCCTTAGGTTTTTGACACCTTGATGGTAGAACGATGCTAACATTATAATCCAGTTTAAGTTAAAGACTGACTACCACCTCTTCCCTGTATATTTCGTGGACAGATTTGGTTTGTGCCTGTGAGTCTGCATCCTTTCTTGATTCCTAATTACCTACCTTTCTCTTCATCATTTAAGATATAGGTACTACCTGTTTTTATCTGTTCTTTATTTTTATTTTTTATCTTTCTGCTATGTGGCATTTCATTTCTTTGTGCTATGTGACATCTTATTTTGTGCTACCTAAGCGCGGTAAGGTAGATAATTGGGGGTGTCTTTTGTTGAGACATCTTTGTGTAGATTTTCTACTTTTTTGGATACCACCTGTGTACGGGTGTTCTCTGACAAGTGGTATACAAGGAAAATTTCCTAAATACCGGGACTCTTAATTATGATAGAACTAGGGAAATAGTAAATACTGTGCTGTTAACCTAAAGTTATAGAATCTAGTATGTTCTAGCATCTAACTAAATCAATTCTCTCCACTTTCAACATAGACATTACAAACTTTTTGTGGGCTGCTATTATGCTTTTTGTGAAGGGTTCTGAAAGCTCATTAAGTTGATCTTATTTTTGTGACTGCATTGTGGCAAAGTTGGGACATCTAATCAACCTTGCTCATCATGACTTCAATGTTTAGTGATTCAATATTGTATGCATGCATTACAGTGTCGTCTCAGAGGGAAGATTGATTCCAATGGATGTGTTGCTGCTTTCCTGGAAGAGCGCTTGAACATGGGTCTTAATTTCGTTCTTTCAGCTGAGGTAGGGCGGCATTTTGACTTTTTTTATCTTGTCGTAGCTCCTTTACAAAATACATGTTCTTCCATCCCAGTCTCCTTTTCCTTCTGGGTTGAGGTCTCTCCCTTTCTCCATGACAATGAAATACGAAAAGCTTCTTGATTTTTGCCAACCTTTTTGGGATTTTAACACATTCGACCGATCCGCTAGCCAAATATATAAAATTATACATTAATTCTGTATAAAATTGAGTATATGTATAGTATGCATTAATGTACAAAAAATATACATTCACCATCTATTATTTTGAAAGACGGCTATACTGTGTTAAAAAGCCCACTTTTGCTTATAAGTTTCAGCGATCTTTTTTTCGCTGAGAAATTTGAGGGCCAGCTAGTGCATGGCTTGAAACTCGGTTGAGAAGGGGCACACCCCTTTATCAATTCTATTCCGTCATGTTTTTACTAGTTGGAACCTAATCTCGCACAGTTTGGCTGTATAACTTTCAGTAGTATCCTGAATATGTCCTTTATTGCTTGTTCAGGTCGATCATAAAAAGAAAGACTACAAGTTTGGCTTTGGACTCACCGTTGGAGAATAGAGGAGGCAGATTAAATTGAAAGCATCTTTAACAATGATTCTTTTTCTCAACAATCAGAATCAAAACACCAGTTTTGTATCTTTATTGAGCGACATTGTTTTTAGAGCATATCAACTGGTGCAACTAGTCACTAGTAGTTGATTTTGCAATTTGAGACATTCTTTAGATAGTTTAGAATTGTAGAGTTGACTTTATTCAGCTAGAGAGATCTACCATTCTGATTTTACTGTGTGGCCTACTCTGTGGTTAATAATTCAATTCCTAGGGTTTAAATCATAATTCAACTCAGATTTTGGAGGCGTATGAATATCAATCATCTATGTTCGTTTCAAGCTAGTTAGAGTCAGCTATATAGATTTTCTGTAGCCAATTTGAAATTTTCTAATGTTTCAAAGGGTGTAAATCATACAGATGACAACCTCAGCTGTGAGACACAATCAATAGGGTTAAAAAAAGGAAAGAAGAACGAGGATTGTATTTGTATTTGAGAGATATGTTTTTTAATTAATGAGAAGGATATTTTCTTTGAAGCTATTAATTTTTTGTTTCTGTAGTTTGCAGTTTTGTCTTCCATAAGCGGAAAAATTATTTTTGCTATTGTTCAAAAGCACCTTTTGTTTTTGATCAAATACTTCAAATCTTCACAAAAGTATTCATTTAAGAGTGTTTAGAAACCACCATGTAATTACTACCTTAGTAATTCCATTGAATAGTAATTACAAGGTCATGTTTGTTCGTCGTAACGTGATTCCAATGTAATTATATGTGTCATGTTTGATTGCACGAGTGTAATTACATAGTAAACTATTTTTTTTATTTAAAATAAAAGTTAATTTTTTTTTTCTAGATGAACATATAAGTAAATTTTAACATGTAACAAATATATGCATATATAATTATAAACTGGTAACTAATATTGTGAAGAATAATCGGTATCTTTTATATAAATAGGAGTATTACATTTTAACATGAATAAATTAAAAACCCAATAAAATTAGAATATTTTACCAACTATATGTATGAATACAATATGTAAGTCATGATGCGTTGCACTTTTTAATTTAAAAAATACATAAACATAACAACAACAACCACCCAGTATAATTCCACTAGTGAGGTCTGGACAGGCTATTTCCGATAGACTCTCACATCCTTTCCCCCAAAAACTCTTCACCTTGCTTTTGTGGTGACTGAAACTCACAACCTCTTGGTTGGTTGGAAGTGAAGGGTGCTTACCGTCAAAGCAATCCCCTCTTGTCGTAAAAAATGCATAAATATGAATTTATAAATACTTTTTCATAATAAAAGTTTATACTAATTAATACAGTAGAAAATAAAATATTTATTAAAAAATTACGAACACTACTTATCAATCTAGCTACAACATAATATATACAGAAACTTGTTATTATAAAAGCTAATAGAATCTCAAATTATCAATAATCATCAATCAAAATTTTTCTGATTATAATTATTTCAACAACATAAAAAATAATGGAAATAACAGTATAATAGGTCATTGAGTTCATTACTATGATCAAGATCGACATCAACCTACAAAGCACTCCGATTAGTATTAGTATAATACGATTACATCAATAAAATAAGAGATTTAAAAGGGAAGAGTAAATTCAATATTCAGAGGCCTAGAAATCCAATTTTTCCTCACTTTGATTTACGTGCGTGGTTCGGACTAATATCCAAAAAGCCTTCCGTGTGAAAATATGAGAAATAGAAATTTCTAGAGTTAAAATTTGATTATGATTGACTTTGGTCAATATTTTGAGCAAACATGCCGGGATCCGTGTTCTGACGATCCCAGGAGGTCTGCATTAAAATATGAGATTTGGGCGTATGCCCGGAAATGAATTCCGAGGTCCCAAGCCTTAGAAATCAATTTTTGAAAGAAATTATTTTACTGAATTATCTAAGAAATAAAGGAAAGAATTAATGTTTGAAACCATTGTTATCGGGCCCGTATTTTAATTTCGGAGCCCGATACAAACTTGTTTTAGTATTTGAAAGATAATTGTGAAATTTAGTGAAAAACGGAGTTTATTTGACTTGAGTTGGACTTCCGGTTGAAGAGTTATGAACTTTGACAGTTCTTGATGAAAATATTGAGTTTTGAGATTTAATTCATGATTTTACATGTTATTTTGATGATGTGATCGCACGAGTAGGTCCATATGATGTCTTTGAGTTAGTACGCACACTTGGTTTGAAGTTCCGAGGGCTCGGGTGAGTTTCGGGTAGGTTTTGGTATGTCTTAGGCTTAAAAACATGGATGTTGCAGGTTCATAGAAGTGCAAATCTCTGAACCCGCAGTGCTGACCACATTGGTTTTAGTGTTGTCCGTTGTGGGGGCTATGCGGCCGCACTCGATTTTGTGCGATAGGTTCACTGGTCCGACTTCGGAAGCCTATATCTTTTGATCTACAAGGAATTTTAAGATGATTCAAAAACAAAAGTTGTAGCCCTTCATGTCTAGTTTTTAGAAAAGTAAATAAATACAATTTGGACATCTATAAAGAAAGTTATAGCCAAAATAGTAAAACATATCAAATGCAGTCAATATTTTGGGTTGTGCGGACCGCACTGGGGGATCTGAGAGGGGTATATTAAAACTGGATTTTCAGTTATTTTTTATTTTTAAAACCCCAAAATATAAGAGGTTATTTTTCAAACAACCTTTCTTCTCCAAAACATTGGTAAGTGATTTCTAACTCATTTTCTTTATTCCGTAACTTCTTTTTACAAGATTTCATCCTAGAATCAATGATTTTCATGGGAAAAATTAGGGATTTGGACCTTGATTTGAGGTCCAATTTCAAAATAAATTATATATTTGGGTTCGTGGGGAATGAGTAATCGGGTTTTGGTTCGAACCTCGAGTTTTGACCTTGTGGGCCCAGGGGAGATTTTTGACTTTTTGGGCAAAACTTTGAGAAATTCATTTTCATGCATTCAAATTGATTCATTTAGCGTTTATTAATGTAATTAAGTAACTTGTGACTAGATATGAGCAAATTGGTGGTGGAATCGAAGGATAAAGCTATAGTTGAATCGTGAATTGTGTTCGTGGCATCGAGGTAAGTGTTTGGACTAACCTTAGCCTGAGGGATTAGAGGCCGTATTTTATTTTCTACGTGTTAATTGTGGAGTACGACATATAGGCATGGTGACGAGTATCTATATGTAGGTGTCAAGCATGCCCATGAGTCTTGTTTTATAATTGCTATGACTTCATTGTGGTTTATTGCACTTCATATGTTATTATCATCATTGTTCCATTACCAGGATGTTTGTTTTGATGTTAATGTTTCCTTTCCGGAATGTTTATTGATAGTATTGATCCCTTGCCGGGATGTTGTTGAAATATCATTGTTCCCTTGTCGAGAGGTTATTATGTTACTTTTGTTCCCTTGCTGGATTCCTTGTGATTATTGTTGGATTGTAACTAGGAGCGAGTGGTACGCCTACCACAAGATATAATGAAATGGGAAGGGATGGTATGTCTACCACAAGATATAATGAATTGGGAGCAGGTGGTACGGCTACCATAAGACATAATAAAATGGGAGCGGGTGGATGCCTACCACAAGATATAATTAAATGGGAGCGGGTGGTACGCCTACCACAAGATATAATAAAATGGGAGCCGGTGGTACGCCTACCACAAGATATAATGAAATGGGAGCGGGTGGTATGCCTACCACAAGATATAGTAAAATAGGAGCGGGTGGTATGCCTCCCACATGATTTAATAAAATGGGAGCGGGCGCCTACCATAAGATATGATGAAATGGGAGCGGGTGGTACGCCTACCACAAGATATAATAAAATGGGAGCCGGTGGTACGCCTACCACAAGATATGATGAAATGGGAGCGGATGGTATGCCTACCACAAGATATAGTAAAATAGGAGCGGGTGGTATGCCTCCCACATGATTTAATAAAATGGGAGCGGGCGCCTACCATAAGATATGATGAAATGGGAGCGGGTGGTACGCCTACCACAAGATATAGTAAAATGGGAGCGGGTGGTACGCCTACCACATAATTTAATGAAATGGTTGTGGGTGGTATGCCTACCACAAGATACATGAAATGGGAGCGGGTGGCACACCTGCCACGAGGTACAGGAAATGGGATCGGGTTGCACGCCTACAACAAGATGTGAAAATAAAATGAAATCTGCCTTTGTTTTCTTTATTCTTGTTAGTGGTTGATTTTTGATCCCTTCATAATGAAATGAGAGCAGGTGGTACGCCTAACACAATATGTAATAAAATGGGAGCAGGTGGTACGCCTACCACAAGATATGATGAAATAGAAGCGGGTGGTACGCCTACTATAAGATATAGTGAAATGGGAGCGGGTGGTACGCTTCCCACATGATTTAATAAAATGGGAGCAAGTGGTACGCCTACCACAAGATATGATGAAATGGGAGCAGGTGGTACGCCTACCACAAGATATAGTGAAATGGGAGCGGGTAGTACGCTTACCACATGATTTAATGAAATAAGAGCGGGTGGTATAACTACCACAAGATACATGAAATGGGAGCGGGTGGCATGCTTTCCACGAGGTACAGGAAATGGGATCGGGTTGCACGCCTGCAACAAGATGTGAAAATAAAGTGAAATCTGCCTTTGTTTTCTTTATTCTTGTTAGTGGCTGATTTTTGATCCCTTTATAATTCTCTTGATATTCTGTTTTACTTGTTATTCCCCGAAGCATGTTTTTCCCTCCCATCTTTATTTGTTTATTTCTACTTTATTTTCTGCTGTATATTATGTAACTGCACAAGTTTATTTAGTAGTATGATCCTACCTCGTCACTATTTCGTCGAGGTTAGACTGGACACTTACCATCACATGGGGTCGATTATGCTGATACTACACTCTGCACTTTTTTGTGCAGTCCTAGTGTTGTGGACTTCGGACCACAGTGAGATTGCTGATTCTTGATCATCAGGCGACCCGAGGAAGTCCTGCAGACATCTGCAGGCCTTGACGTCTCCTTCTATCTACTATTCCTGTTTCTTTTATGCATTTCTAGAGACTATTGTATTTATTTCTTTCAGACCCTTTATTTGTAGTATTCTTAGACCGTCTGTGAAACTGTGACACTAGTTCTGGGTAGTTGAGACTCAAACAGTTGTATTAGACATTCATGTTAGATTATAGTTTCTTTCTTCCGCTTATGTTAAATTTCATTGTTTAAATTTTATTATTTCAAAATTGTTAATGAATATAAAATGGGTAAAAAGGTAAATTGTGCAATTAATTGGCTTGACTAGCTCGTATTAGTAGGTGCCATCACGACTCCCG